CACAATCATGTTGTGGAGGATGATACAAGTCATCATTATGCTCCTAAGCACCTCTTCGTCAAATAGACGCGCCGCGCCCCTAATAATAGCCCACTGCGCTTGGAGGATACCAAAGCATCTCTCCACATCTTTTCTGTAACCCTCGATCTTGATAGTTAGCAAATAATTTTTGCTTATGGGATCGGGGATGTGGAATTGATTTGAAAAATGTGGTCCACCTTGGGTAGATGCCGTCAGCTAGATAATACCCATTTTGGTAGATGGTATGGTTGATTTCATAGGTGACATTTGGGGCTTCACCACTCAATACATCATTAAACACCGGGGATTGACCCAGGACGTTCAAATCATTTTGAGATCTGGCAACTCCAAAGAAGGCATGCCAAACCCATGTATCGAATCCAGCAACTGCTTCAAGGATGATTGATTTCTGCCCTTTCCTGTTTCCGTAATCCCTTTGCCAAGCAGTTGGACAATTTTTCCATTGCCAGTGCATACAGTCAATGCTCCCAATCATTCCAGGAAATCCTCGAATCTCAGCTTTTTGTAGAAGCCGTTGTAGGTCCCTGGGCGTAGGTCTGCGCAGGTAGTCCCTGGTGTACAGAGTTTCCACTGCATCACAGAATCGTACCAAGGTCTCCAAAATAGTGGACTTCCCCATACGGACAACCTCATCCACTTGATCAGCATATGATCCATACGCTAACATTCGTATCACTGCTGTGAACTTTTGCTCGGGAAGAAGTCCCAAATTTCCAGCAGCATTTTTCTTTTGAACAAAGTATTCATCATAATTGCAAATATCATTCATGATTTTATTGAATAAATGGGGTTGCATTCTATATCTTACTCGAAAATGAACATCAGAGTACAGAGATTGTGGGATAAAATAATCTTCTAGAAGATTCTTACCTTGAGAATGTCTATGTCTATCAACATTCGAGCGACGACCTTCACGTGAACCACGGCGGCTCTGGTTTTCTTCCTCAAGCAAAGCCACTGCTATGCCAAGTTGCTCATCTAGTTCTCTCTGCACCCTCTTGCTTGCAGCTCTTCTACGCATTCTTTCTCTAGTTTCTCGCTCTTGTCTCTCCAAAATCTCTTCCATGTTTGCCATTGAGAATGGAGATTGAAATATAAAATATGAGAAATGGAAATGTAGAGAAGATTTGGAAATCTGAGAAATGGAAATGTAGAGAAGATATGGTGTGGGAGGTATGAGCTGAGTCTCTAGTTTTATAGAATAATTTAGGCAGATAGAGATGACACGTGGCGCAATTTTAGAGGGTGAAAATCTTATCTGAAATTTGAAATTTGACATTTATCTGAAATTTGAATTTTGAAATGTATATGAAATTTGAATTTTGAAATGTATCTGAAATTTGAAATTCGAAATTTATCTAAAATGTGAAACCGAAAATCTTATCTGATATGAATGGTATTGACACGTGGGAACCCAAAAATCTTACCCGAAAATATTATCCAAAATAATTGTTTAAGTAAAAAAAGTTGTGAAAAAAACAAAAAAATAAATAGTAGTTGCCATGGCAAAGGGCAACTGTTGCAAACTGCTGGAAGTGCTCTAATAGGTCCGCCTCTGCCTACGTGTATGATGATTTGGTGTTGAAAGTGAAGAGTATTGGTAGTTATTTATAGAAAAAAATTCCAGTATTTTTTGGTATTTTTTAGAATTTTTTTCGGATTTTTTTTTCCATATTTTTATTGCCAAAATATTGTCTGCCGTTGGATTGGAGGGAAAATACCATCGGAGCGCCCGGGGTTTGACACATGGCACATTACAGTTGGCGCGCGCTGACATCAGCCTTGCCCTCGTTTTGGACCTGGGGCTAGCCTTGCCCGAGGGCCATTTTGTATACTCATAAATTGGCCAAGTCCTCACATACATGCTGAAGGTCCAAACCTTCACCCATCATCCATCACACCTCATCACTAAGTTGAACTCAATAAAGGCCCGACCATTTTGAGCATCAACACTAGTTATTGGCAGATCTCATCAAAGGCGAAAGAAAATCTGGTTTTGTTGTTTTCCTTCCTTGCGGCGAAGAGAACATGGCTGAGGCTGTAGTTTGCTTTGTGTCGGATGGGCTCGAAGAATTCGTCAATCGGAATGGGGAATACTTGTCTGAAATTAGAGATCAAGTTCAGCTTGCACTAACCGAGTTACAATTGATGCGGAACTTTGCGAAATTTGTGGATAGAAGACAACGAGATGATGTGGTAGCCGGAATTAGAGACGCGGCTTACGACTTGGAAGTTATCGTTGAAACTTATGCGTTGAAAGTGGCTTTGAGAAGGAAAGGAGTTATTCAGAGTGCGATGAAAAGGTATGCTTGCATGTTTATTGACCGAAGTCGCGTGCGCAAGATTGAGTCGAAAATTTGTTACATTACCAACGCAATTTCTAGGTCGAGGTGGTGGTTGAGTGTTCGAACTAATAGAATTGAAGTAACTAATAGAATTGAAGTGCCGATTCCAAATTATTTACCTCCACCTGATACTGAACATCATCCTCATCCTATTGTTGGGTTAGAAGCCAAAGTAGAAGAATTGGTTATGCATTTGGTAGAAAATGAAAATCGAGTTATTTCTATATTGGGCATGGGGGGTATAGGAAAGACTACTCTTGCAAAAGAGGTTTATCATCATAACGCAGTCAGGCGTCATTTTGATTGTTTGGCGTGGGTGTGTATATCTGAACAATTTGAAGCAAGACGTGTTTTGGAAGAAATTTTGGTTCAATTTATTTCTCCTACTACCGATGAGCAAAGAGAAGAAATTGCAAGCATGTGGGATGATGAAATAGCCAGAAAACTTTTTCTTCTCCAAAGAGAGAAGAGATGTTTGGTGGTTATAGATGACATTAGGAAGATTAATGGCTGGCTGAAATTAAAAGTTGCATTTCCTCCATACGAGGCAACAGGGAGCAAAATATTACTTACCACAAGGAACCATGCAGTAGCTTCATGTTCAGATAGGAACCGACTCATCTGGTACTGCGAGCCACTAAATGAGAATGAAAGTTGGGAATTGTTTGAGAATATAGCATTTTTTGGAAGGAATGATAGAGGTATTTCTCACACTCAGCTCTTTATCTTTGTCTTCTTATTTAACAAGTAATAAACCTGATAAAGACTGTCACAGTCCATTTGATACTATTATTGAGTGTATTTTCATTCACCCTCCTTAACTCTTGGTGTAGCTTCACCCTCCTTAAGAGGAATCCGAACATCTGTTGTTTAGATCCCAATATCATTCATGAAAAAAATCAGCAGAAATGTTTGACCATTTGATTATCATCATGAATATTTTGTTGTTTCATTGGAAACATTTTGTTCGTCTATTTGTTGTGTTATAGTTTGATGATTGCCAAGATTGTTAATCTTCGTAAATATGATACTTGAATGAGGCCTTACAACATAAATGGTTCAGATCATCAAGTCGCATTGATATTTGGACCCACCTGCTATCACTTTTGGTGAATAGTAAAAAGGGATACCTCTTAACAAGGGTGTTGGTCTTTCTATATATATTGTTTTTATATATTTATAATGCTATAAGATTGGTAAGCTGAGAATTGTTAGGGTTTTTTTTGTAGGCTCTGACATTTTTGGAAAGATGAAAGAACTAGGAAAAAAGATGATTAAACATTGTGAAGGTCTTCCATTAGCCATCGTTGCGCTTGCTGGACTTCTAGCAAGAAAGAAGACACTTAATGAGTGGAATACAGTATTTAAAAATATTGAAAACATTTGTAGAAACGACAATATTGAAAAATATGCACATGTACATTGGATGTTGGCAATGAGTTATGATGACTTACCGTATTACTTAAAACCATGCTTTCTATATTTAGGCCAATTTCCTGAAGATCTTGAGATTCCAGCCAAAGAATTGACTCAATTGTGGATAGCAGAAGGTTTTATATCTTTGGCGCAACAAAAACAAAGGTTGCTGGCAACGGTGGAGGATGTAGCATACAATTGTCTAAGCGAGTTGGTGGAAAGGCGTATAGTTCAAGTTGGAAAGAGGGGTTCAGTTAGAAAGATTAAAACTTGCCGTATGCATGATCGCATGCGAGACTTGTGCTTGTTGAAGGCAGAAGAGGAGAACTTTCTACAAATTGTTAACTTTTCGAATATTGCACACAAACCAACTGGTAAAGTTCGAAGACTTGCCCTTTATTTCGATGAGAATGATGTGGTTTCATCAAGATCTGAATCACATGACCATGTTAGGTCTCTATTGTTCTTTGGCCCGAAAAATTGGATACCAAAAAGTACAACATATATACTATCCACATTCAAGGATTTGAAATTTCTTAGAGTTTTGAAGGTTGAATATATGGTCAGGGAAGTAAGGTTGCCAACTGAAATTGGGAATATGCTTTGCTTAAGGTTCTTAAGTCTAAGGAAGAGTAATATAATATGGTTGCCCCCATCTTTAGGTAATTTGATATGTTTGCAAACTCTGAATTTGGACTTCTGTCACTCGAATGATCGGACTCCAATAATTCCGAATGTGATATGGAAAATGGAACAGTTGAGACATCTATACTTACTGTATTACAGGTCAAGTAGCATACTCCGACTGTCTAACCTTTTCAATTTGCAAACCTTATCTTGTGTTTCAAGTGACTTTTGTGATATGAGTGATCTTACGAAATTAACCACTCTCAGAAAACTGGGTATACAATTGTCAAGACCCATGCAAAATCTGGAGGAATTATTGAGATCTGCAAGCAGCACGCTAAACCGAATTCAGTCTCTATTTGTGAAGAATGATGTTGGAGTTAATAGTCACGCGGAGGTTATGCAAATAGTATTAAGTTGTTGTCGTATATACAAGTTGAAGCTGTATGGGCCTATCAAAGAGCTGCCAACAGACCCCCAGCACTATCCAAACCTCACCAAGTTATCGTTGTGTGAGTGTCATCTCAAGGATGACCAAATGGAAATACTAGAGAAGCTGCCAAACTTAAGAATTCTTTTACTTCAGTCTCTGAGTTTCCAGGAAAGCACCAAGACACTGGTATGCTCCAGAGGAGGCTTTCTTCGTCTTGAAACTCTTTCCCTGGAAAAATTGACAACACTAGAGGAATGGAGGATTGAGGAAGGAGCCATGCCTAGTCTCCTTCAGTTGGGTATTCTTTTTTGCAATAGATTGAAGACAGTTCCACATGGGCTGGTATATATCACAAGCCTCAAGGACTTAACCATCCGCTGGATGCCTACAACATTCTACAGTAGGCTTCAGGAAGGAGGCGAGGATTTCTATATAGTGCAGCATGTACCTTCCCTTGTACTTGGGGATCCGTGGGAATCTGAGGAAGCGCCTGGGGATGTGCATGAGGAATAGGTATTCCTTAATTTGAAATTTTCGAGGTTAATTTAGTTTCTTTTTGTATTCTTCATTTGGCATCACTTATTAACTTTTTATCCTTTTTTTTGTTCATATCCTTTTTTTAGTTCAACAAATTTTGCTCTGTCTTACTTCTTTTTTCCCACTCCTCTGACTTGCATTCCTCTTAAGTTGAAGACCAAGCTACTTCTTTGGTCCAGTATTTTAGTTTGTTATGTCTCAAAGTTTTTAGTGAAGTGGTTCATTTAATGAATTCTGGATCTTGCCTATTGATAACTTCAACTTCAGTAAAATAAAAAATAAAAAATAAAAAATAATTCCGTGAGTAGAAACCATTCATTTCAAGTACAACCGACCTTACCCGGAAAGAGCTTTTCTTGTTTTCCCTTTTCAGTTTTGAAAATAGAACTCCCAAAGTTCAAATAGAACAAAAATGCTCACTTTGTTTTATACCGTATGAGGAATTATGCAAAAAATTTAAATTTAAAAAAAAAAAGAGCAAACAAATAGTTTCAGCAAATGGCACAGGAAATTGTTTTCCAATATATTTCAGAGGGATTGCATTCTAAAAGAAATGGTATATGAATTGAATTTGTTATGAGGTAAAAGCAAGAAAAATTGTTTTGTCATGGTAACACCATTTGGCAAGCGTGGTGTTACAAGTCTACTGAAAGCAGAGGGGTCTGTTCTGTCTGTCTGTCTGTCTGTCTGTCTGTCTGTCTCTCTTTTTCTTGTTCTTTTCCTCTCTCTCTCTCTCTTGTTCTTTTCCTTGACCTGGGTCAGTTACTGGAAGCTATAATCAGTTCTATGGTACTGTTAGCTAAACTAACAATCTGAGGATAAGTTTATTTAACTGAATTTATACTCTGATTGATCGAATGCAAACTATAATTTCAGATAGCATTTCTCTCTTAAATACTAAAACACGGTTTCATTGTCAACAAGTGTACGTTGCTCTTGATAAAGAGCACAAATACAAACTGCCTGTCATCAAGAAAAAGAGAGATAATTTGTCCACATGTATGACCCCTGAGAAACTGATTATTTTGGCTGAGTATCTAATAAAACTTAGGGTTAACTACCTAAAACTACCCAACCTTTGGGGGTCGTTTCAAATTAGTACCCAACCTGGAAAATCTTATGTGTAGATACCCAACCTCATCAAAAACATACAAATTAGTTAACAGTTGACTATTAGTCCAACTAACGGAGGGTCTAATTTGTATGTTTTTCGTGAGGCTGGGTATCTACGTGCAGATTTTCAAAGTTGGGTACTAATTTGAAACGACCCCCAAAGGTTGGTAACCCTAAAACTTAAGTACCTAATTCATTCCCTCCACCTAATAACTGTTAGGTGGAGAATTAAGATTCTTGTTAATTGTTGCAAGATTTGACTGTAGAAAGAGATGGTCAAATAGGAGAGATTCTTTAAACATGCAAGCTACTGGTTTATGATTGTATATAATGTCATGAATCTGACTCATAGTGTCACCTAATCATTGTAAAGTTGTCATTCGACCATAAAACAAAAATATTGTAAAGTTGTCATGAAACTGACTCATAGTGTCACATAATCAAGGAAATTTGCAGATGTCATTTTTTTTTTATCTTTCTTTTTAATTGTTTTGCTGAGGTGAGGAGCAAGAACATATGGAGATATATGTCGCCTAGCTAATAGATGCTTAGAAAAGCTTGTTAGATGATCGATTTAAGTGGCCGGTTAGTGTATATCTGTGTTGTGTTCTAAGTGTAAGTATATATTTTTTCTGTGACTTGCTTCTGTTTCTTTTCAGCAGAATGATTTTATCTTTTTATAGGTCCAGAAGATGGAACATGTGAAGCTATGGCTGCTTTGAGGCGTTGTGCGAGTGACGAAACTGCGAAGTATATAACGTTTTGTCTCTTGCTCTGCAATCTGCTTGTAGTCTTTAAATCTCTGGTACCGTAGTAAAATATTCAATCTCAACCCTTGGGTTATTCAGATGTGGTGTTAGTTAAAAGGAAGATAATGAATGGTTCTTTCTAGCTGCCGGTGAAGTTGGCATGGGGAGAAGAAAATTATGTCAATTATATCAAGTCGTCATACTTTACAGTTTAATCTCTTACGAAAATAAATTTTTAAATATTTTTTTGTCGAGAAAAATGTAGTTGTTTTAGCATCTCGGATGGAAGGTTGTGCTTTTCTTATTAATGCTTTATTTGCTTTGGACAGAATGTTCTATGATATGCAAGGGAAATGACATCACCAGCTGCAGTGGTACCCAAAATGGACAAAGGGTTAAACGAAGATGCAACTATATTTCTATTTCCCTAATGTTATCTGTGCAATTTGTGCTTGTTGACTCAAATAGCAACTACATCAGTTCACACTTTTTTGCTTGCTTGTCTGAAAGCTGGGGAAAATGGATTGCAATGGCCCTCTGCTATGTGTATCTGGACAACTGAGAACGATTAGCTCAAGTGGGAAGTGAACTATGACTATCAGTATCAGATAATAACTTGAACGTCCACGTCTTGATAGCTCATGGACTTTTAACTTTATTATCACACTTAGGCAATTGGTAGTATCATATTTAGTCTAAATATCTTAAATCTGAAATTCCTTGATAAACTTAAATTGGTAATCAGTGTAAACCCACAGATTTCTTACGTTGTCTTACTTTATATTATTATTATTATTATTTAGGTTTTTTTTTTGTTTTGTTTTTTTGTTTTTATCACAAATGGTCTTTGAGGTTTGTGAAATTATTGTCTTTCGTCCTTAAGTGTGTTTGGATAAGGAAATTTAAAAGTACAAAGGATTTCATAAATTAAGGAATTTAAAATAACGGAAATTAAGGTTCTAGAATTTGTAAAGTTTCTTGTTTGGATGACGGATTTAAAACACGGAATTTAACCTTTATTTGTAAAGTTATTTTTTTTAAAAATTCAATCTCTCTTGGGATTTTAGAAATGACGACTTTTAGATAGAATTTAAAGTTGGGATTTATGATCTCTAAATTTCATGTTTTTTCCCATGCGGAATTTCTAAATTTCTATGTTTTTTTTTTATCCAAACACGGGAATTGGTTCATGTCAATTTAGAAATTCTAAATTTTGTCAAAATCCCAAGTTTATTTCCCTCATCCAAATGCACAACGGGTTTTTTTTTTTTTTGTGACACTAATGGTCCTTAAGATTACCATCCACACATCAAATTGGTCCATATTGTAAACTTCTGTCAAAATTTATGTTATAATGCTAACGTGTTACATATAATATTTTAAAAACAAAATTAAATTTATAAAACTTAAATTTAAATAATAAATAAAAACCTATCTCTCCTCCTTCCAACCTGTTGTGCCGCCCCACCCTGCCAACCTACCTCTCTCACCCCTCCCTCACTGTGCCAAACATAAACCTTTCAAAAGAAAATTCATGGCAAACTTGTAAACTAAAATATTATAATGAAGGAAGTTGAGGTTCCACCCTAAAAATCTAATGTGGCGAATCTTCAAGCCTAACACGTGAACAACACATTATTGGTGACGTGGAGCATGTAATAACCTCCAAATTGGGATTTTGTTGTTATTAATGTTTCAAAAAATCATATGAGGTGGATAATAATATTGGGCATTTTATGAAGTTGATTTGACGTGGAAACAATAGATTTATGAGTGTCTAATATCAATTTGGACTAAAATGCCCTTACGTTTAATTTAATGATTTTTTTATGGATGTTCAAGAAATTGAATTGAGGAATTTGTGATTCTTGGATAGAATGAAAGAGCTCGATGTCACGAATGCGTAGGGCCATACGGTTCATGAATCAGAGTTGAAATGAAGAAATTATGTTCATTTGAAATTCCAAGGACTTAATTGCAAAAGTAAACAATAACGAATTCTTTGTCTATAAATTACAGAGGGGCACTGTTGAAATTCAGAAATTTCATTTTGGCTCGGAGGTTTGAGAGCTTGCCGGAACGGCGATTTCCTACAGCTTTTGCAGTGGTGTATGATGGCGGTGATCAACACCACCCACCCAGATCAAAAGCCTGATACCTCATGAGCATAACCCAAGACCAATAGGGCCATCAGAGCTGCGATGAAGGCACGGTGATGCCGTGAATTTGGTTCATCATTATTGAAGTCAACGAATTCAACCGACAGTTTGAGCCACTTACGCTTCGACTCAGACCTTGAGGTAAGAATTAAAGTTGTTCTACTTAGTGTTGCGAATGTTCTGGTACAGGTCTTGATCGGCGATTCTAGGGTTGGTCCGTCGCCATAATAGTACCCCGAAACACCACGGATTGGCGGCGCGTGGCTGCATGTGGCGGCGCGTGGTGGTGGTTCTGAGTTGGAGGATTTGAGACAGATTGTATTCCTGGAGGTGGTGAGCATGATGGTGTGCTCAAAGTGTTGAGATTCGGTCGTTTGATCGACGATTAGAGCCTCACAAATCTGGACTGTTGATCGAAGATGATCGGACCGTTGGATCGTGTCCAACTTTATATATGTTGTAGCTAGTGTGGTTAGGAGTAGACCTGGCAATATTGTACACGACCCGTTAACACGACACGAATTCGCACGAAAAATTCAGTATTCGTGTTTGAGTTATCGTGTTGTGTTGATATCGTATTGACCTGTTAAGCTATCGTGTCGTGTCGTGTCAATTCGCGAATACCCATTAGCAACCCGTTAAGCTCAGGAGCATTTTTGTAAATCTATCTCTTTCTTTTATTTTTTTTATTTTTTTATTTTTCTTCCTCTTTCTTTTCTTTTGTCTCTTCCTCCTTCATATCATTCCCCTGATTCTCTCAGTACTCTCTCTCTCTCTCTTTCTCGTCTCTTCAGCATTTTTGTAAATCTAACTTCATTTTCTTCTACCGCCTCCTTCCCATCCCAGTTCACTCTCTTTCTTTCCTTTTTTTTTTTTTTTGCCAAACCCGTCTCTTTCTTTCATTGCCAAGCTGTTTGCTTTAAACTCAAAGCTTGGAGCTTTTCTCCCATGGCTGCTTCCCCAGTTTTAACAATCCCCATTTTTTTCGGATGTATAATGTATTGTTAGTAATTGATATTTTATTTTAAAATTTTAAAATATATTAAAAAACTGTTTATTTTTCTTATCGTGTGATTCGTGTCGTGTCATGTGATTCGCAAATGGTAACGGGTCGTGTTCGTGTTGAGCATTTGCAACCCGTTTTCTTATCGTGTCGTGTCGTGTCAACCCGTTAAGAAAAACGAGTTGACATGAACACGACACGAACATTGATAACATGACACGAATGCCAGGTCTAGTTAGGAGTCTGTAGGTGCAGACAGATTGATGATCAAACATTTCGATCATAAGTTGTTATGTTTCAAAGTTTGCAGTGAGTGATCACCGTTCGATCGTGCGATCTAGAATGATCTGACTGTTGGATCGGGCCCAAATTGTTGCAGGGTGATGTGGGGACTATTTAGAGTCCATTAGTGTGATCATATTTGAAATCTGAAGTTGTGGGCCCGAGGCAGATTTTTGGAGTGTCGGTTGGACGTGTGGGACCCACAGGACCCAAATAGTGACTTTTTGGACAATGGGTGTCATTGGTCATCTTTTGACGTCTTTGGAGTCGGTTGGACGAGATTTAATCGCTTTGGACCCCTGGTTGGTCTAAAGGGTGTTTTCATCATTAGATGTGAAATCTTGGATTTTGGAGTTTTGTGCTAAGTTGAGTTTGTTCATTGAGGATTATGGGGCCAAAGTGCACATTGAGTTTTGAGTTTGAGAATTTGTTGAGTTGTTGAAGACGCAGCTTGGACGAGAGGTGAGTAAAACCATCTAGATTGTAAATAAAATCACATATTATTATATTTAATACAATGTGGTTCTGATAATGTTAATGGATATAATTAACATGTTGTTGTCGTTTTGAGAAACAGTTTTGGTGTGAGTTTAAAATCAATTAAATGTGTTGTGATTTTAAATGAGTTTGCATGATTTTGTAAAATGGATGGTATTCTTGGGAATGACCATATTATGTTTGTATGGTGGTGTTCATAAGTGAATGGCCACGTAAATATATATATATATTGATATGATGGATGTATTTGAGATAGAAAATAATATTTAAGAGGTTGATGTTTGAAGATAACCTTTAAGTGGTTGACCGTGGATGTTGGAAAGGCATATTTATTGTTTTCGGTGTGTGTTGATGTTGTGATTGGAAGGATAGATGTGAGAATGCACTGATTCCTTCAATTGGAAGATAACCTTCAAGTGGTTGACCGTGGCAAGTAATTAGGGAATTGTAGCCATGGGGTGTGAGGCCCCAAACCAGTTAGAGCTCTAGTTGGCGCCATCACAATGTTCATGAGGGTAACACATAGTTACTTGGCTTCGGCGCAAATTTGTGAACAGGCGCTAATGGATGTGTACTTTAGTGTTCGTGAGTTGGGATAGTCGAGCGTATTCTCACATCTATTGTCGAAGAGTGACATTTATGGGTAGTGTTTCTAACATATTTGAAACAGGTTTTGGGTCAGTTGATGACCGAACAGTTCTTATAAATTAAAGAATTGTGATTGTGATGAGATGATTGATTATGATTACCTTGGTTATACAAGGATTGTGGTATGCTAATGAAAGTGCATGTGTTTGTATATTTTGTGTAAATGACATATTTCTGTTGGTTGTGGTTTACTCATACGAGCTTTAAAAAGCTTATCGGGTTTGTTCTTTGGTGAACCCGGTACACTATTCGACGGTCTAGGGGCTAATCCTGCAGGGAATAGGAACCCATGAATTCATAAGGAGCAGAAAGCAGAAGGTGCGCTTGCAGTGTACAAAGTTTGGTTTGAAAGTGTTGGTGTGTTTAGACTTCTGCTGTGTGTAATAAGCTTTGAGAAGCAGAATATGTAATATGTTGATGGTTCAATTTATTATATATGTTGTAATGTAATATTTGACTCGGAAGATGGAGTCAGTATTGACATTGTGGTTCAGAATGTGGTATTGTATTATGGAAAAAGAAAAAAAAATCCTTGTACATATGTTGAAGGTTCCGAGCCTCACGTCTCGAATCAGTTTGTCTGCAATAACTTAGCATGTTATTTATTGTTGAAAATTCGGGGCATGACATAGGATGTGTGGCCGTTGGGCTTTCAAACATGGGCAACCCGCTCTGATACCATGAAGGAAGTTGAGGTTCCACCCCAAAACCAAAATATTTCCTAAGATGCACTTCTTTGTAGGTGGGGCTGGGGGTGGGTTGCAGGTACAACACATGTTCTTCCAAAATCCTCTAAGTTCTCAATACTTTCTTCTCCCTCTCAAAGCTCTCAAACACATGTTCTTCCAAAATCCTCTAAGTTCTCAATACTTTCTTCTCCCTCTCAAAGCTCTCAAACACATGTTCTTCCAAAATCCTCTAAGTTCTCAATACTTTCTTCTCCCTCTCAAAGCTCTCAAACACATGTTCTTCCAAAATTCTCTAAAGTTCCCAAACACTTTCTTCTCCCTCCTCAAAGTTCTCAAACATTTCCCTTCTCTCCCTCAAATTCTCTTAGTTTTTCTTTCTAGTTTTCAATTGTTATAATGAGATCTTTGTGCTGAAATTTTCCTTTAAGTTTTTCTTAGTTCCACTTTACTTTTCATTATGTAAATT